CTGGTGGCATTTAATTGCCACTGGGTTTTTTTTTTTTTTTGCACTATAAACAAAAAAAGAGCAAAAAAAATTGAAAAAAAAAGTCTTTCTTTATTTCTACTATAAAACTTTGCAAACAGGTACATTTTCTCCTTCACTGATGTGCATTGATGATGAGACTGCACTGATGGGCACTGATAAGCGGCACTGACTGATGGCACTGACTGATGGCACTAATGGGTGGCACTGCTGGGCGCTGATGGGTGGCACTGCTGGGCGCTGATCGGTGGCACTGCTGGGCACTGATGAGCGCCACTGTTGGGCACTTTTGGAGCTGCATTGATAATCAGTGTCCTCAGGTACACTTGCCAGTTATCGACAGTACTTTCCCCACGCTGTCACAGTGTGCTGTCGATAACCGGCAACTGTATTTACTTTGTGATCAGCTGTGTCATTGGACACAGCTGATCACGTGGTAAAAGGCCACTGTGATTGGCCTTTTTACCTTGTCATGTGATCAGTTGTATCTGTAGGACACAGCGATCACAGACAGCGCCAGGTGTGTACCGCTGGGGGTGCACGGGGGGGGCACATTCTCGGAGGATGTCATATGACGCTCTCCCAGAACTGGACAACCATGCTGTAGCCATCATTTGGATATAGAGCGGTTGTAAAGTGGTTAAACAATATTTGTTTATCCTGGAGTTCAGCTTTAAGAGACACATATAATGTATTACAGGATATTATTGGATGTAATAATGTATTACAGGTTATGGGGGAAGAGCTGAGTTGGAGTAACATCTAAATTTACACGATGTGTTCTATGTGACGTTGCTCTGGTTCAATGGCTAGTTGCTAGGTCCAAGTGCTGTCGCATGATTTTATTGCATACACCTGTACTTTGTACTGGTATTTATGATAGCACTACACGGGTACAGCAGCCCAAAGCTATTCATGTCAATGGAAGGCTGTACGCTGCACCTGGGCTGATATGACTGCTGTTATGCTTCTTATAAGAAGCCATGATAAAGAACTGTCAGAGTCGGTGTGCTCAGTGCGCTGGGAGTGTGCAGTGAGTGAGCTCTTAGAACAAAACCTCTGGTTGCCCTGGACACATATATGTGACAGCTGGGCATGAAACCCTGCTTTTTTCTGCTATCGCAGGTATACGTTAGATGGTCGGCAAGAGGTTAACCATCATCCTGCATCCTAACTCTTGATCCTAAAATGTTTGTGAAGGCCAAAGATTATTTACCTTTTAGGTGCAGAACCCCCTCTGCCCCCCTACTTACCCAAGCTCAATCTCAATCCAGAGCTGTTCCCAGGAGCAAGGGCTTTCTCGGCTCTCTCTCTCCTTACTGGAGGTTGAGGCAGCAGTGGGAGCCATTGGCTCCTTCTGCTGTCATCACTCAAATACAGTGAGACCAGGTTCACATATAGACGAATTGGATGCGATTTGAACTGCATCCAATTTGCATGACATGTGAACCTGCAGCCTATTCTATGAAGCCAGTTCACACATGTGCGGGCTGGACACAGTGCAATTTGAAATAAAGAGGTATGATTTTCAGCATGGTTCAAAATCATTGCACAGAGCAGGTAAGTATAACGTATTTGTTATTTTAAAAAAAGATTATTTATAATCACTGTAACTAATCTTTAAAGCTTTAAACTCCTAAAGTTTTCAAACCCACAACAGTAAATCAGTCTGTATATGCAGCACAGCATGCTTGTTTTACTCATTGTGCAACCTAAGGGGTTAATCCTCCGTTAAAAGGCTGTTTGATCCTGCCATCTCTTATCATCCACTTCTTCTACTGTCCCCAATCCATCTGCTGATAGTACAGAGCTCTAGGAGTCACTGTTCACATCCTACGTTTAGTGTGTATTACTAGAAAGCAGGGGCGGACTGACAACTCATGGGGCCCCCGGGCAACAGGGGATCATGGGGCCCCTGTGTCCTTGCCCAAACTAAAAAAAGCCTATGAAAAAGGTACCAGGGGCATCTCATGGGGCCCCTTACTGACCCCGGGCCCTCGGGCAGTGCCCGAGTTTCCAAATGGTCAGTCTGCCCCTGCTAGAAAGTTTTTTTTCTTGGGAGAGTGCATGTGATCAGCACAGGGTCAATCAGCACTGTCCAGGCAGAGGGTAAGGGGTCATGCAGCCTCATAGGACAGTCAGAGCAGAATGAAAACTCCTCCTACAACAAGACTGCTATATACTGCTGATGAGAAAAGGTATTTAGCAGTTTATATTCACTAAAATAATTGCATTACCATGTTCTATGTGCTGTGGGAGACTAGATATAGTGAATGCAGGTCCTGGGTTTAGTTACACTTTAACTCTTACATTCTTAGTATATTCTATGCACATTTCTAACTGTGATACTAACCCCTAATCAGCAATATTACATTCATGGTTATGTTGATGTAAAAATATATATAGCTTTTGTCTAATAGCCAATAACCTATGCCATAACAAATCACAAGTTAAATTTGGCCCTGACATACAATCTGCCAATAAAGCCACTGATCTGGGAAACCCAAAGAGTAAATACACAGCTCTGTTTATAGAGTGCATTTTTATTGGCATACCACGTTTGAGAAAATGTACTTTGTAATTTACGTTCCGCTCTGATGATGACAGAAACCAGCAGGCGGGATTTCTTTCTGCCACAGGTATTCTCACATATTTCACTTCCAAGTATTTTAAAATATACACAACCGGTCATGTATACAGAGTTTATTTTATATTATTGTATCGAATTCCTTCCCACAGGATGCATTGATATAAAAATGTTTATTTTAAAGTTGAGTTTCATTCTGGCTAATATCCTGAAGCAGTAAAATCTTCAGGATTGGGAAAACGTCACCCTGGTATTAAATGAAAAAGACCACATTCAAATGAACGGCTTTGAAATATTTTCTTTATTGTCATACATAACAATGTACAAAACAGCAATGGTACAGCTTCCATCATAGTTCTGCATACAAATGTTGCCTATGGTATTGCTCCAAAAAGTGTAGGTATATCAGAAAAGGAAAGGCAAAATGATAACCAGGAGTGGTGCCGACAGGAAACACATTCTAGAATTCCCCAGAAGGCAGGGAGAAATAGTTGAGCCTACAACCGGTAAAACATAGACAAGCTAACCATAATGAGCAGCTAAATGGTTAGCACTTCCACCTGGCAGCACTAGGATCATTGGTTCAAATCCCAACCACAGGCACCACCTGCCTGGAGTTTGCATGTTCTCAGTGTGCCTGCATACATTTCCTCCGGGTACTCCAGTTTCCTCCCACACTCTAAAGACATGCTGGTAGGTTAATTGGCTCCTGTCTAAATTGGCCCTAGTATGTGTATGTATGAATGTAAGTTAGGGACCTTAGATTGTATACTCCTTGAGGGTTAGGGACTGATGTGAATGTACAACACATATATGTAAAGTGCTGCATAAATTGACAGCACTATATAAGTACTTGAAAAAAATAAAGAAATTAAATAATCCCATTTCCAGCAAACTATCTAGGAGGGTGCTACATGTATATGATCAGAAACCTATTGTACGCAGAACACGTGTGTTCACATTATCCTTCAACATATTTTATATATATATATATATTTTTTGTTTTTTTCCCATAGTAGTGGTCAGGTAGCTAAATATGTGACACCATAGATCAGTGGCAGGACAAGGTCATGCAGTACCCAGGGCAAAGATGACAAGTTGTGCCCCTGTGTCTGTGGTGTCACTGCAAAGAAAAAAAAAGGCCCTGTGTCTATTGTGTCACGGAAGGGATAAAATGCCCCTGTGACGTGATGTGTTTCGAGATGAAAAGCAGTCTCTTCTTCAGAAATGCCTAAATAGGGCATGATACCTGTAATGTAGGGGTGGGCAACTGTGGCCCTCCAGCTGTTGGTGAACTACAAGTCCCATCATGCCTCTGCCTTTGGGAGTCATGCTTGTAACTGTCAGTTTCGCAATGTCTCATGGGACTTGTAGTTCTACAACAGCTGGAGGGCCAAAGTTGCCCTCCCCTGCTGTAATGGATATATAAGTATAATTATATCTCCATATATCTCCATTGGAAGTTACATTCACAAGTATATGGATATCACTTACATAGCCCAACATTGGAGCAAAGAACATGAAAGGACCGCCAATTGACTAAAACTGGAAAGAGCATAAATGTGGCCAATGTTTCCCAGATCCTCCAAGAAGAGTGTAAAAAAGGAAAGGAGAAAAGGGCGCTGCCCCACTAGCCTCCAAGGGAAACCACTTCACAGCCACACTAGGGCAACAGGTGAACATAACAAATTCAAAATGATTATTTCTATGGAAATATATAAATAACAATAAGAAAAATGAATAGTAGAAAATAACATAGTAGTGGACAAAAAAGTAGAAATGACTAATGTCACTCTTATAGAAGCAAAAAAAAATTGCTTGCTGAAAGTGAAGATACAGCAAATCATGCTCAGTATTATAGGATTGTATATTATCATTATCCTAATAACATAGGAAGGTTCCCTGATATTGCTGGGTCTATAAAAAATAACATATACTGTATTTTTTTCTCCATAAGACGCACTTTTTCCCCCCCAAATAAGGGGGAAAAATGTAAGTGCGTCTTATGGAGCAAATATGGAGCGGCCGGTCCGGCATTTCTGCCGCCGCCGTGTCAGAATACCAGGCTGGCTGCTCAGCTCTTCCTTACCTGTTCCTCGGTCCAGCGCTGTACAATCTTCCGGCGCCAGCATCTTTAGTGTGGACACCCAGCTAAGACAGCCGGGTGCCCACTGCACATGCGCAAGAAGCGCTACGCTTTGTGAATGGTCCGGTGTCTTCTGAGACACATGACAGGTCCAAGAAGATGCCGGGCCATTCACAAAGCGCAGCGCTTCTCGCACATGCGCAGTGGACTGTTACAGCCGTGTGCCCACACTAAAGGAAGGACAACTCCGAGGAAGTTGGTTCGGGTACCTGTCAAATTCAGGTACCCACTCCCCCTCCCTCCCCAAAGGTCTGCAGTCTCTTGGTCATCCCCTGTACTGTCTGCAGTCTCTTGGTCATCCCCTGTATTGTCTGCAGTCTCTTGGTGATCCCCTGTACTGTCTGCAGTCTCTGGTCATCTCCTGTACTGTGTCCGCAGTCTCTGATCATCTCCTGTACTGTGTCCACAGTCTCTGGTCATCTCCTGTACTATATCTGCAGTCTCTGGTCATCCCCTGTACTATATCTGCAGTCTCTGGTCATCTCCTGTACTGTGTCTGCAGTCTCTGGTCATCCCCTGTACTATATCTGCAGTCTCTGGTCATCTCCTGTACTGTGTCTGCAGTCTCTGGTCATCTCCTGTACTGTGTCCTGCAGTCTCTGGTCCGCAGTCTCTGGTTATCTCCTGTACTATGTCTGTAGTCTCTGGTCATCTCCTGTATTGTGTCTGCAGTCTCTGGTCATCTCCTTTACTGTGTCTGCAGTCTCTGGTCATCTCCTGTAGTATATCTGCAGTCCCTGGTCATCTCCTGTACTATGTCTGCAGTCTCTGGTCATCTCCTGTACTGTGTCGACAGTCTCTGGTCATCTCCTGTACTATGTCCGTAGTCTCTGGTCATCTCCCGTACTATGTCTGCAGTCTCTGGTCATCTTCTGTACTATGTCCGCAGTCTCTGGTCATCTCCTGTACTATGTCCAGTGCAGTGTATGGTCATCTCCTGTACTGTGTCTGCAGTTCTCGCAGTCTCTGTCATCTCCTGTACTGTGTCTGCAGTCTCTCGTCATCTCCTGTACTATGTCCACAGTCTCTGGTCATCCTGTCCCCTGTACTATGTCCGCAGTCTCTGGTCATCTCCTGTACTATGTATGTCTGGCAGTCTCTGTCTGTCTCTCTGTACTGTACTGTGTCTGCAGTCTCTGGTCATCTGTAGTATGTCTGCAGTCCTGGTCATCCCCTGTACTATATGTCCGTCAGTCTCTGGTCATCGTCCCCTGTACTATGTCCGCAGTCTCTGGTCATCAACTGTACTATGTCTGCAATCTCTGGTCATCTCCTGTACTGTGTCTGCATCTACTGGTCATCTGTAGTATGTCCGTAGTCCGCTCTGGTCATCTCCTGTACTATGTCCGCAGTCTCTGGTCATCTCCTGTACTATGTCCGCAGTCTCTGGTCATCTCCTGTACTGTGTCTGCAGTCTCTGGTCATCTCCTGTACTGTGTCCGCAGTCTCTGGTCATCTCCTGTACTGTGTTCGCAGTCTCTGGTCATCTCCTGTCTATGTCCGCAGTCTCTGGTCATCTCCTGTACTATGTCTGCTGTCTCTGGTCATCTCCTGTACTATGTCCGCGGTCTCTGGTCATCTCCTGTACTGTGCCTGCGGTCTCTGGTCATCTCCTGTACTGTGCCTGCAGTCTCTAGTCATCTCCTGTACTGTGTCTGCAGTCTCTGGTCATTTCCTGTACTATGTCTGCAGTCCATTGGTTCAGAGTATTTTTTTTTTCTTGTTTTACTCCTCTAAAACCTAGGCGCATCTTATGGTCAGGTGCGTCTTATGGAGCGAAAAATACGGTAATTATTTTGGTAAATAGCATACAAAAGTGCCACTAAATCTAGCTCAAAGTATCCAGAAAAGAACCTACCAAGTCTGAGGGAAAGATGAATCACCTGTCCACTGGCTGCACATGCACACTATGGACCCATAAAATGGCGTTTTATAAGTGGGCGACTTGAAAATGCACTAATCACAGTCCATTGCAGATTAGACTAGTAAAGGTGGCCTATCTCTTCCCAGTGATCCGCAGTGGCCACTTCCCGGCCACGAGGTGCACAGCATCACCGCGCAGAACGTTGGCGCGATGGTGTTGTGCCAACATGCAAAATTGGACCTGGGAAGACACACGACTGGAAGGAGGACAACCAAGCCTCACTTCAATGGAGCCACTGCCACACTGTCTCCCGGGTTAAAGGGCCACCCAAAACTGAACAGACTGGGGTCAGCAGCCTTTGCGCATCGGGGAAGCAAGAGGAGTGCAGCAAGACAAGGCGAAAAAGGGGAATTAAAGCAAAGGATAGAAAAATAGGGAGAGAGGAAAAGAAGAGGAAACAATAGCAATCACATCCATATAATATAACATATACTGTAAATAACACCTTCAAAATAAACAAAGGAGCAGCATCAATATGGAAAAATCAATCTTTTGTGCAGCAATGATTGTTGTGTACTAAATGGCAAATAGGGAATCACAATATTATAATGGGAAATTTAGATTTTGGACCACAAAAATACCCATGAAAAATGAATGGGAAGTCACAGATCCTTTTCACACTCTCCTGAAACAAAAGCCAAAAGGGCTTGAAAGACATGGATTCATTGAGGCCAGGAAAAGTCTTGGCATTTAGTCTATGAATCCATCTCAGCTCACTTTGAAGCAAACTCTTATTCCAATCACCTCCTCGTGGACTAGGATGGATTCTATCCAAAATTAAAAACTGAATCTTGGGAAAGACACCTCCATGTAGGCCCGCTGTATAGCATCCCAAAGGTACCTCAACATTGTTGGACTTCATGCTGGAAATGTGGCAATAAGCCCAATGCCAAAATTCCAATTTTGTTTTTCCTACATAAAAACAGTTGCAATCACAGGTTAGCAAGTAAATTACACATTTTGTTTTGCAATTGCCATAATGTCTGGGTGTAAACCTTCCCCCCAATGGGTAAGAGAACTGATTTGTTGGTATTCATGTAGCGGCAATAATTGCATCCGCCACATGCAAAAGTACCTCGATATTTGCAGGCATCTTGACTTCCTTGTGATTTGTATTTACTGTGTATCAAATGGTCTCTAACAAAATTGGTTCGTTTAAAAGTGAAAGTGGGAGTTTCAGATATGAATTTGTTGTAGGGTCAATGGTCAAAAGATAACAATATTTTTGTACAATTTTTCTAAATTGCACGTGTTGGTACGAAAATGTTATTATTCGAACATGGTTATTGTCTTTTTTTGTTGGTGATTTGATAAAGTAAAGTCTGTCTAGATTTATTAGATGTTTTTTTGTAAGCCTTTTTGAGACAAGTGGAGGAATATCCCCTTACTTAAAGACGTTGCGTCAATTTATCTGCTTCCTTCTTAAAAGACTCTTCATCTGAGCAATTATGTCTAATGCATAAGTATTGACTGTAGGGAATGGAATTTACATGAGAACTCGGATGAAAACATTCCACAGAGTAAGCATCTTAATAGTGTAGTAAGCCCAAAAACTAAAATTAAATATATTGCAGCTTACCAGTACTTAAAGTGACACTAAACAGCATCCTTTTTTTTACAAAAAAATAATCTGTACACTTCCACTACTTAATTGCCTGTAATCTATTTTTCATTAAATGTTTTCTTATTGTGTTTTTGTTTCCTTGCTGTGTCTTTTGTTCCTGAACCTCGTCTTACCTCTCAATTCCATTTTTTTGGAATAAGCTGTCACATCAGTTGTGGTCATGTGCACTGATATATGAACACTACAAATCCCTCAACCTTTCTTCAGAGCAAGCAAGAGGTGGTGGCTATGTTCCTACATACAGTGGGAGCATGGAGAAAATGTACCCACCCTCTAAGTTGGAAGTCAGATCACAGCAGCAAAAACAAATTTGGAGATCTGGAGAAGGCTGAAAGCAATAGACGGTACTTTTTAAAGTTAAGAAAACATACTTGAATAGAACTTGTATTTATTTAAACCAGAGTTCAGTGTCATTTTAAATTTGTGACTACGTAAATTTTTTCTTTTATTTTTACATGGTGATATGGCCAATAACACACTTCCTGTCCTAGTGTGGCTTCACTATAGACATCAGCATTGTCAGTAGTGCTAGAGGTTAGTGCTAGATGTACAAGCATATTTAGATAGACTTGACAAAAAGTTAAAGCTAAACTCCAACTAACATTTTTCACTTTTTAAGCAGTTACAGTAACAATTTTTTCCCCTTTGGAGTAAAGGTTTTACATAGATTAATAAAAACTGCCAATTGTGAGCACTCCGTCAGGTTTGAATAGTTTGTGATTTGGATTATGATTCAGGGGTTCACCCATTTACTCCCTACTAACCACCTCTTTACTGAACTCTCTTACCAGAACACATACTGTAGATATTAACAAATAGAAGATAAAGCTAAGTGCCATTCAGTACACTGCTTAGATCGCTTCAACTGACAAGAAAAAATCAGAGGTGGTTGTATTCCCATTGTGTTTCACTGTCTGCTTCCTCAGGAGAATTGAGATATAGTTTATATAAATTTGTATGAGTAGAATATACATACAACATTTAAAACATACCAAATAAATTAAAACTATCAACACTTACATATAAACAGTGATATTGCCCCATATGTCATAAGCCTAACTTCCAAAATAACCTGACAACCTCTCCTGTGAGCGAGAGACAGAATGAACACAATCCATGTTATAGTGTAGTACAGGTATATCGACGATGTGCTAATGATCTGGATGGGCATATTAGATGAATTAAACTCATTCATGGACATCATTAGTCATTAAACACTAATGAGTTTAATCTCAAATTTACAATGAATTGTAGTCAAACTAACGTTACTTTCCTTGATATTGCTATCATAGTACAGGCTTCCTGGCTTCCACACTTTACAGGAAGCTGACTGCTGGGAACATGATACTACTTGCTACATACTACATACTTACTCAGTGACCCTAGTTTGAAACAATCTGTACAGTCAATATCTTGAAATCATATGCAAGTACATGAATGTTTCAGACTTTGAAGATAAGACTAAGGCCTTGATGGAGAGGTTGTATGAAAGGTGCTATGGTAAAAAGATGTTAAAAAAGAACATAACAACATACAAGGGAATCCCTAATCTAAAATGTATCTCCAAGAAATTGTCACAAATTACTAAAATTGCTATTATGTATTTATTACAACACAAGCAGATCAGACAAAGTTTAACAAAATATTGGCCCCTGCTAATTTGTGATGACCTAGTCAAGAAATACAGAAAATAATTACCAGAATACTTTTTTTAAAAGATCTATCCCTATTAGGGACTGAGCCATGCAGAGTTATTATATGGTGGTTGAGAAGGAGGATCCCTGCACAGTAGATTGGTATGGTTTTTAGGTACTCTAATATTTCAGATGATGAATCTCTGTTTTATTAGGCACCTTAAAAGCCCCAGTTACACAAAGAAAGGATTAAGATTTGTGGGTGGTGCCCATATGGGGATGGGGAAAGAGCATTCACTACTTCCCCTAAAGACTGAGAGAGGCATATGCCAAAAACACAGAGTTGATGTTAAGGCAGTGCTCTCCGTAAAAGCAGCATTTCTCAGCACAGACATTAGTTAATTCACTGTAATCCACACAGTTCTTGAACTCTTTATACTCTGTACACTCTTGATAACAGTTCCCATTACATTTCTCTCTTTTGTGCAGCATTTCTGAGCTTGTGCCACAGAGCTTGCACCAGACTCCACCAACACAGTTACCCATCACCTCATCCCAGTGACATT